GGGACACAGATCCCCTCCTGCAGGGAGGGCAGACACAGGACAAACACAAGAGACAGACACACGGATGCTGTTGAACTGCAGCTTTAATACCCCGGGTGGGTTCTGCCTGCCAGGAACTCGGTACAAATCCAGGAGGTGTCTCCCTTTTGGGAGCAGGTGAAACAGTTCCCATATCCCCCCTTCCCTGCCTGTTCCACACAGACACTGTGTCCAAGGAGGGGAAGCGGGACCTGAGGACAGCAGGGCTTCAGCCAGGAGCTGGGCTGGAAAACTGTGGAAGTGGGAGAGGCCCCAGGAAGCAGCACCAGGAATGGGGAAGGGGGAAGCAGCATCCATGGGAGCTGAAATGGCACCAGTGCCACTCTGGGCTGGCAGAGGGTGCTGGCAGAGCCAACCGCTGCCGGAGCATTCCCAGGCCACTGTGGTGTGAAGCAGCTTGAGGACATGGGACACAGAATCCCAGAATCACTGAGGTTGGAAAAGACCTCCAAGATCATTGAGGCCAACCTGTGACTGATCACCACCTTGTCAACCAGACCAGAGCACTGAGTGCCACATCCAGTCATTTCTTGGACATCTCCAGGGACAGGGACTCCACCACCTCCCCGGGCAGTCCCTTCCAATGTTTAATCACCCTTTCTGGGAAGAAATTCTTCCTGATGTCCAACATAAACCTCCCCTGGCACAGCTTGAGACTATGAGGCACCCACACCGGGCTCAGGACCCGCCCTGAGGCTGGGCACACCTGATCCCATGGGAACCCTGTGGCACTGAGCTTGGCCAGGCTGGAGCAGGGCCCAGCTTCCCCCTGGAAGCAGGGACAGGGCACTCCTTGTTGGGGGGTCCTTGGAGCTGTGCAGGTGCCCAGCAGCAACAATCCCAACCCTGAGAAAGGGCTGGGGCTGCCTGGACATGTAGGAGGGAGGCAGTGGCTACGTGACTCCGTAGTAGAGGTGCACAGCGAGGCCGATGCACGCCACGGCCACGAAGAAGAGCAGGGTGAGCTGCAGGTCAAACAGGGCGACGGAGAGCAGGGCGTTGACCAGGATGGAGCAGGAGATGATGAAGAGCCTGGTGATGTTGCTGCTGTGCTTCATCACCACGGACATGATGAGGCCGTTGAGGGCCTGGCCGAGCACCACCAGCAGCACCCACGGGGAGAAGCCCCGCAGGAACCCCCCCTCGGCGCCGCTCCACAGGGAGCCCGCCAGGTTGAGCAGGACCCCGAAGAAGTAGAGGAAGACGTTCTGGAGGCCGAGGGGCAGCGGCTGCGCCTTCAGGATGGCTTCAGTGTAGACAGCAGACAGGCCTGAGATGAGGCAGTACACGCAGAGCAGCACCAGCCCCACGGGCGTGACGTGCAGGTGTGTCCCGCCGGGAACGCCGTGCCCCCGGAGCCCCCCCCAGCTGTAGCACACCCCGGCCCCCAGCAGCAGCAGCAGGGCCAGCCAGCGGCGCGGGCCCAGGCGCCGGCGCAGCAGGAGGCTGTGGAGCAGCGCCGTGCTCAGGATCTTCAGGTTGCTGAGCACCTGGAAGGTGCTGGGGTCCATGAAGAGCTGCATGTGCACCACCAGGTTGTTGTTGGCGGCGTAGAGCAGGGCCGAGAGGGCGAAGGGCGCGGCGTGGTGCCAGGACGCGGCGGGCGCCGGCGGCTCCCCCAGCAGGGACAGCAGGGACAGTGCCAGCTTGGTGAGCTCCACCAGCACCACCACCGACGTGGAGCTGAAGGGGATGGCCCCGTCCACCTTGCACAGGGTCAGGAGGGGGGCGTGGGAGCCGTAGATGGCCACAGACAGCAGCAGCATCAGCGCCCACAGCCCCCTCCGGAGCGGCCCCTCGGCAGCATTCCCAAGCATTCCCATTTCCAGCTGTCAGTGCAGACAGGCCAGAGAAGACTGTCACCCTGCAACACCGAAGAAGAGACCAAATAACCAAGGATTTAATGAGCCTGACTCGGGCAGGATGTTCCCTGCTACATTTGTAGTGCAGGAGGAGACCTGGGCACTGTCTCTCCTTAGGAGGAGAACTACAAAGCCTTTCTGGGGAGCCACACAGAGCACATTCGTGGGTGGCAGGGCACAGCAGGTGGCAGGGCACAGCAGGTGGCAGGGCACAGCAGGTGGCAGGGCACAGCAGCCCCTCAGTCCACACGGGGGAGGTGAGGGTGAGGGGAAAAGGCAGCTGGCAGCCCCTCGGGGCCCCCTTGCGGGTTAGTAGAGTGCTCACCACAGCCGTGATGCCCCGTGCACACCCATCACAGCCCCTGAGTGCCGCAGTGCTGTGATGTAAAGCCCTTTTCCAGGGAAAAGAAGGGTGCGGGTGACGTGCCTCCGGGAGCCCCGGGTCTGCTCTGTGCCCGCCGCCCGAGGAGCACCGTTCCCGCAGTCCCTGCTGCCTCCGGGCTCCTCCGCGCTAGTCCCGACCTTTTTTCAGCGCGTTTATATAATCCCGAATCGTCTTCTCGACGTTGGGCACGGCGTAGTTCTGAGCGGCGTAAATCCCAGTGCAGGTGCCGGCCACGAAGCCGAGGACGGCGGAAAACCGGAGCTTGGCCACCACATACCCCGCGAGGAAGCCTTTCAGGAAGGGGGATGCCAGCAGGGATCCGTCCTGCGGGGGGGGAAGGCACAGTGAGGTGAGATGGCGGGGGAGACACAGGGCGGGTTGGTTTTCCCCAGAGTTTGTTTTCGCCCCCCTCAGAGGGAGCGCCGCGAACCCACGCGTTACCTGCCCCACGCCGGCCTGCACCTCGTCCTCCACCCTGCGCTGCAGGCTCTCCAGCTGCCCCTTGAGGAAGGCGAGGTCCTTGAGCTTGGGCAGCGAGTCCTGCGGGAGACACAGAGATGATTCCCAGCCCGGCCGGGAAAGACCCCTCAGCCCCGGTCCGCCCCACTCACCTTATCGTCCGCCATCTTGGCGCCGCCGCCAGCCGCCACCCATTGGCTGTCGCGGGGCACACGTGACACCCCGCCTCTCCGCCCCGTCGCTGATTGGCTGATAGGGGACACGTGACACCTCCCTTTCCCGCCCTGCCGGCCGTGCCCGCCGCTGATTGGGCGGCGCGGGATCACGTGGCTCTTCTTCCCCGCCCTCCCTCCCGGCGCCATGTTGAGGCGCCTCCCCCTGGAGGACTCAGCCGGGGCCGTCCTTACCCGACCCTTCGCTACATGGGAGGCTCCGGGGCTGCCTCGGGGAGGGATAGTGGAGCTCGCAGCCGCCCCTCGCTGCGGTTGGGGCACCCCAGGGGGTGCCTGGGGATGGAGGGGCGTCTCCCACCTTCCCAGCGCTTCCCCTCTGTGGGGGACACGGCGGGGGCGCTCAAGGGGGTGTAAATTCCCTTTTACCTCGGAGGAGATCAAGGCAGAGTTGGTGTTTATTAGAGGGCGTTTACTGGAGAGGTTCAAGGCCTGGTTGGATAAGGCTTGGAGCAACCTGCTCTACTGGAAGGTGTCCCTGCCCGTGGCAGGGGGGGTTGGAACTGGAGGGACTTTGAGGTCCTTTCCAACGTCAGCTTTATCGTGGAGACCCTCCTGCTGAGCCTCGAGGTGCGGGAAGTGATGTAAATTGCTTAGGCAGAAGTAATGGTTAATGGAATGTTATATAAGGGTTAGTGGAATGTTGAGAGCTCTGTAATGAGTCAAAAAAGCCCTTTCAGTGGTGACCCTGCAACGTATAATGGCTTTAAATTATTTATTAGGTAGCCAAGGAGGTGCTTGGCACAGTTTCATTAAAACCAGGGATTTTGCAGGTTATGTGTGTGTTACCCTTGTGGGTCCTGCAGCAGCACCCACACGGCTCTGAAGGTTTCTGGGCTGTCAGGCAACTCTGCAGCTTCATTTAGATACATTCCCGGGGTGTGTTATCCTGCTCCCACTGAGCACTGGGAAGAGGGAAGCAAAGGGAGTGGGGAGGCAGTGACAGGTGCAGCCCAAAGCAGAAACATTAATATTAATAAAATGAATATAAATATTAATTAGTAGCCAGTTTAGGTCCAAGCACTGCTGAAGGCTGAGTGCTGAGCTGCTGTTTCCTTGCTTTGCAGATTCCAAATTTTATCCACAGGCAGGTGTGGGCTAGAACCTTCCAGTTCCTCAGCCACTTTTCAAGCAGGATTTTTACTACATGAAAGGTAAAAATAAAATAAAATAAATTGATGCAAGTGCAAAGGCCTTTTTTTCGAGCACAACCACAACACTTGAGAAGTGCCACTTAGTGCAAGGCTGACTTGGAAAATTTGGATATCAGTAAAAAACAACACCTGAGGGCAGCAGAGCCCTGGGGACACTCCATACTCTCCTCTCCAGAGGTGAACCCCTCTCCAGCCTCACCAGCACTTCCTGCAGGACAATGTGACAGAGAGCAGGTTTATATTGGATATTGGGAAGGAATCCTTCCCTGTGAGGATGGGGAGGCACAGGTTGCCCAGAGAAGCTGTGGCTGCCCCATCCCTGGAAGTGTCCAAGGCCAGGTTGGACAGAGCTTGGAGCAACCTGGGCTAGTGGAAGGTGTCCCCTCCCATGGAATTGGATGGGCTCTAAGGCTCTTCCAACCCCAAACATTTTGGGATTCTCTGAGCTGAAGGTCAGTTTTTCAGGTTCATGGATGGGTCACTGGGGGGCTCCTGGGGTTTCTGGTCACCCCCAAGGAGAAAAGGCCCAAGTGTGTCTCAGAAAGGATGGACAACCCAGCCACCTTTGGCTGGGAATGGAGCTGGGCTTTTACATCCCACCAAATCCTGGCGGGAAAACAGCTGAGCTGTGAGGGAGGGCTGGAAGAAGCCCCATCCTTTCTGCATCCCAGCTGAGCCCATTCCCAGCCCCGCTGGAGGGAGGTGCAGCCCTGCTGAGCCTGGCTCAGCTAATCCTGGCTGTGACCCTCCCTCCCTGCTCCACCGGGATGGGGATGGCCCTGGGACGTGCCCAGCTCACCCTGCTGGGGTGTGGTGGTATTGCTGCTCCCCGTGGCTCAGGGGTGGATCTGCCTCCAACCCGGGAGTCCTGAGTCAGGTTAGAGCTAAAACTGAGCTATTTGTGCTGCTGGGGAGCTCAGGGGGAAACTGGTTATGCTGTGTTTGCCAGCTTGGGCAGCGAGCTGCCAGTCCTGAGGTTTGGTTTTCCTGCCTCTGATCCTGCAGCTCCCTCTGCCAGCAGAGCCTTTCACCTTGGCCCTGGCTGTGCCCTTGAGCAGTGGCAGGAGCTGAGCCTTTGCTGGCAGCTCTGCTGCTGCTGGAACAAGGCTGTGCTGTCACATTTCCTCTGGGCTTGTGCCTGTCTTTCAGCCTGTCCCCTGCTAATATGGCCTCAGATTATCAGCACTTCCAGCCCAGCAAGATAAGGAGCTTCCCCATGGGAAGGGAGCAGGGCACCAGGGAGGACATGGAGTGAGGATTCCCGGTGGGCTGGGAGGTGTGAGCCCCTGGGGCTGTGGTGGCTTTGCTGCCCACGTGGCCATTCCCATGTTGCTGAGCTCAGCCCTGATCCCAGACATTCCCCTTGGATCTCAGCAGGTGCTCCCAGTGTTTGCTCCATGCTCTTGGGAACACTGCTCAGGTGATCAGGACCCACACCCCAGTGTTCTCCCTGCTCCCAGGGTGTCTCCTACCATGAGCAGGAGGTCCCTCACCTGCTGTCCTGTCTCCCTCTCCCCCAGCAAAGATCCCTGTCCCTCCTGCAAACCCACTGACTCTTCACAGTGGCCTTTGCTGTCCCAACCCTCCCTTCACAGCCCTCTCATCTGCCGTTTTTGGCTGCTGCACAGATGCAGCACAACAGAGATTAGGCTGCAGATTAAGGTTTTACTTGATCCTGAAATGGGTTCCAATTCCCACTCCCAGCAGGGCCAGTGTGCAGCCAAATCTCCTCTGAAAGCTCACTGGGCCAGAGCTGGGGAGAGGCATCTCCCACCGTGTCCTGCCACGTGGATGGAAGATGGAGGAGCCCTGACATTCTGCACCTGGAATTCTGTGTTCAATTCTGGGCCCCTCACTTCAAGAAAGACATTGAGAGGCTGAAGAGTGTCCAGGGAAGGGTACAGGGCTGGGGAAGGGTCTGGAGCACCAGGAGCAGCTGAGGGAACTGGGGGGGCTCAGCCTGGACAAAAGGAGGCTCAGAGGGACCTTCTCACTCTCTGCAACTCCCTGAGGGGACAGTGGAGCCAGGTGGGGATCAGGCTCTGCTTCCAGGGAACAAGGGACAGGACAAAGGGAAACAGCCTCAAGCTGCACTGGGGGAGGTTCAGGTTGGACATTGGGAAGAATTTCTTCTCCAAAAGGGTGGTCAGGCATTGGAACAGGCTGCCCAGGGAGGTGGTGGAGTCACTGTCCCTGGAAATGTTCAAAAAACATGTGGATGTGGCAGCTGGGGACAGGGGTTAGTGTGGGCTTGGCAGTGCTGGGGGAATGATTGGACTCAATGATCTTGGAGGTCTTTTCCAACCTTAATGATTCCATGATTCTGTGACTCTAAAAGGAGCTCGGCAGCCAAGGGCAGGAGCAGAGCTGTAGTCTCAACCCCAGCCTGCACCCACCAGCCCTTCCCATCAGCATCTCCCCATCCTGAGTGAATCTGCCACACTTTCCCCTTGGCCTGGAGTGACAGGGAAACCCAGTGCCCTGCTGTGATCCCGACAGCAGTGCCTGGCTCTGCCCTCCTTCCCTGGCAGGGCAGCTGGCTTAGCTGGAGGCTCGCAGTATCCACAGAGAGGCAGCAGCATGCCCCAGGATGCTTTTGTGTGTCTGGCTCCAGGCAAAGCTGAGAGTGGAGCCAGGAGGGAGCCAGGCCCAGCACTGTCACCATCCCCAGCCAGGTCACCTCCTTGGGGCCCCTGGGCTCCCCAGTCCCCCAGGGTCTCCGTGCCTGGCCCATCCCAGAGGATGGTCACAGCTGTGTCACATTCCTGGTGCTGGAAGTCCAGGCTGAGGGCAGGCACCTGGGACCTGCCAAGGGACCTCATCCTTTGCCAAAGCCCTGGGAAGGACCAAAGGGTAGGGATGTTGCAACATCAGAGGGTAACAAGCCAACTGAGCTGCCTCCTACCCCTCTGCCCTCCTGGGGCAGAACTGGCCACCAAGACCCTCCTCCCACTCTTGGCAGAAGGGGAAGCTGAGGATGGAGCAGTGGGTTCTCCCTGCTCCATGTCCTTGCCAAGCTGTACCACGGCACAGCTCTGCCACTGTCTGTGGCAGCATGGCCTGATTTCCTCTTGTCCCAGCTCCACATCCCGGGTGGGTGGAACGTGAGGATGTTTGTGTGGGGCTGTGCAGTGGGTCCCACACACACTCCTTGTGCCAGCAGGAGCCACGTGATGGGTCAGGTCACACTGGCTGGATGTGTCTGTGCTGGGATTTCCAAAGCCACTTTCAACACCACAGTGTACCACAGAATCATGGAATACCTTCCCACAAGGATCATCAGTCCAACTCCTGGTTTTGCCCAGGACACCCTGACAATCCCACTCTGTCCCTGAGAGCATTGTCCAAACACTCCTGGAGCTCTGGCAGCCTTGGGGCCGTGACCACTGCCCTGGGCAGCCTGTTCAGTGCCCAACCACCCTGTGGGGGTAGAACCTTTCCCTATCCAAGGGCAAATCACGCCCAAGATTTAGGAGGCTGCAACTCATCCCAGAGAAAAACGCTTTATATAACACAAATCAAAGCAGATATAAAAGAAATAATACACCAACAGATGAATATGTGAGCTGTACACAACAGAAAAAACAGGAAGCATGTCACAGGGCTGTGGCCTGAGTCAGCTGCTCCAGCAACCACAGCACACAGGAGGTCTGGGTGGGAGCTGGGGGGTCTCTGCCATGGGCAGCACGTGTCGGAAGGGGAAGGGGGTTGGGGAAGGTGGAGCAGAGCCCCGAGGCAGCACTGAGGGGCTGGGCAGGGGGTCAGAAGCCGTCACTCCTCAGCGGCTGGGGCAGGTCTGACACACTGATCTGCAGGTTGAGCTCTGCTGAGTCCAGGGCAGTGGATGGGGTGGGCGGGGGGCTCCCCTCGTGCACAGCGAACTCCTCCTGGTGCTGCTGCCGCAAGTGCCACAGGATCTCTCTGGACAAGAAGTGGGTCTCTTCTTCTCCTGGCTCTGGAACAGAAGAAAGACAAATCCCACCTTCACCAGTCAGCCCCAGGCAGGGGTTTGGGCAGGGAGCAGAGTCTGGGAGATGCCCCAAAATATGCAGAATTTCCTGCACAGTCAAAATACAGCCTTTACTTCCCATTTTCAGCAGAAGGAAGAAATTAAACCACAAAGTGCAGGGAAGAGAGTAAAATTACAGGCACTATGTGCTGGATTCCTAGTAATGCTTGTTGTGATGGGAACTGCCTCACTGGATTGGAAATGCTCCTCCCCATCAGAGAGAGCACTGAGATCCCTCTGAAAAACAAGCAACATTCATTTCAGCAAGATGCTGATCTCATCTGGCAGAGGTGGGGAGATGGGGGATGAAAGAAAGATGGGAAGGAGGGAAAGCCTCGCTCCCTGCCATCCCCTGTCAGGAGGAATGGCACTGAGCCAGCACACACTTGTCCCACTGCTGGGGAGGGCTCGACAGCCCCAGCCACTTCTCCCAGGAACATCAGCAGGGAAGGGAGCTGCTCCTACCCCTGGATGTCTGCTGTTTTTAATCCTTGAGGAAGTGTTCTTATTGTCTCAGGGGTAGACAGCTCGTCCCAGTGCTTTTGGGGACTTCAACAGGGCTGACTAGCGCTGCCAGCACCCTCCACGCTCCTCAGACCCACAGCAAAAAGTCCTTAGAATCACAGAATCATGGAATATCCTGGGTTGGAAGGGACCCACAAGGACCATCAGTCCAACTCCTGGCCCTGCACAAACACCCCAACAATCCCACCCTGTCCCCCAGAGCGTTGTCCAAACACTCCTGGAGCTCTGTCAGCCTTGGGGCTGTGCCCACTGCCCTGGGGAGCCTGTTCAGTGCCAACCACCCTCTGGGGGAAGGACCTTCTCCTGAGATCCAACCTGACCCTGCCCTGGCACAGCTCCAGCCATTCCCTTGTGTCCTGTCACTGGTCACACAGAGCAGAGATGGAGCTGCCCCTCATGAGGAAGCTGCAGACCCTGGTGAGCTCTGACCTCAGTCTCCTCTCCAACTGAACAATCCAAGTGTCCCCAGCCACTCCTTGTATGGTCCCTCCAGACCCTTTCCCATCCTCATGTCCCTCCTTTGGACACTCTCTACCAGCTTTAGATCTTTCTCATACTGTGGTGCCCAAAACTGCCCCCAGCACTCGAGGTGAGGCTGCCCCAGGGCAGGGCAGAGCAGGACAATCCCCTCCCTCACCCCGCCAGTGATGATGTGTTGGGGGATGTTCCCATTCCCTGTCAGGCAGCCCCTCCCTCCCATGGCAGCAGGGACCCCCATGGCCCCCTGAGCGGGGAGATCAGCCGAGCCCTGCTCAAACCTTGCCTGCTTTCTCCTGTTTGTCCTGATCTGAGGTCACCCAAGGCCTGGCAGAGCAAGTGCTGGACACCCCAACCCTTCTCCTCACTCACCCTCGTAGGCAATGAGCCGGTAGGTCCCTGCACACTCCTTGGAGCTCTGCAGGATCTCCTCCAAGGTCCTGTAGAAAAGCTTGGCCTGCTCCAGGCGCTCCTCCCGGCTGAAGGCAGCACACTCATCCTGGGACATGGCGTAGAGGGACTGCAGGGGGGTGGCATATTCCACTGCACAGTGCCAGAGCTGCAGGGATGGCAGGAAAAGACATGGGGACAGGAGGACCTGGGAAAGGGCTGTCAGGAGAACTTGCTCTGGGCAGAGCCCTCAGGACCCCTGGACAGCTCCTTGGCCTGCCCTGCACTGGTGCTGTGGGCTGGAACACTGGGACAGGGACACTGGGTCTGGTCCCAGTGTCCCCCTGCCCTGTGCAGAGCAGGGAAAGAGCAACTGGCCTGGCAGGTCCAGGTGGGCTCAGGTGTGCTTCTGCCCACACGGTGCAGCCACTGGCTTTGTCAGGGCTCCCAAGAGCAGACTGGAGAGTGATTTTCCCCAGGGAATTTGGTCCCCTGCAGAGACACCCCTTGCCTGTGATCACACCTTCTTGGTGGCTTTTCTGCCAAACAAAGGGCAGCGGAGAGGCAGCACCAATCTCTGCTCTGTGTGACCAGTGACAGGACTTGAGGGAACGGCTGGAGCCGTGTCAGGGCAGGTTTAGGTTGGATCTCAGGAAAAGGTTCTTCCCCCAGAGGGTGGTTGGGCACTGAACAGGCTCCCCAGGGCAGTGGGCACAGCACCAAGGCTGGCAGAGCTCAAGGAGCATTTGGAAAACACTCTGAGGCACATGGTAGGATTGTTGGGGTGTCCTGTGCAGGGCCAGGAGTTGGACTGGATGATCCCTGTGGGTCCCTTCCAGCTCAGGATAATCCATGATTCCATGATTCTAAGTCTGAGCATCCTAATGGAGAGCAGGAGGGCAGAGAAGAAGATAAACACTGGCAAGATGGATGCACAGCTGGAGGGAGGCTGATCAAACAAACAAGGAGAGATTTGTTAAGGCCATAAACATTCCAACGAGGAGCAGGGTTACCAGTAGGTCTTCCACTGGGTAAACTGGGAAGTTTAATAAACTTAGAAGGAAGAGGGGTGGGATTCCCAGGTAAAGGTGGAGTAGCAGGAAGCTCCTGGCCTTGGCAGCATGTCCTGGAGCAGGTGTCAGGGGGGTGTTGTGTTGCTGTGAGAGACTGGGCAGGAAGCTGAGGGGCAGATTTTAGTGGGAACATGCAATGGGCCAGGCCAGGTCCAGGCTCGGAGCTGCTGTTGCTCCCAGGAGGCTGGGTGACTCAGCAGGGCCTGGCAGATGGAACACTGGGAAAATCCCACTGCTGGCTGTATTTTCCCCAGAGCAGGGCCAGGAGGAGGCTCTGTGGTCCCTCAGACAGGGCTCTCAAAGCAGCAGCTCAGAGCTCAGCCCCCCTCAAAGGGCAGATCAGGGGCACTCAGGTGAGGAGCATCGCTCTGCCCTCACCTCCATCCACAGCCAGGGTGGGACCAGGGTGTTCCCTCCCCCAGGGGTGCAGGGGCACAGCCCATCTGCCTGGAGATGTGGAAGGAGATGGATGCAATATGAGACAGAGGGATTTAGGGCTCACTAGCCTGGAAAAGAGGTGACTGGGGGAAAGGGAGGGAGCCAAACAATGACTCACACAGACATTTCCAAGCAGCTCTTCACAGCACAAGGAAACACTCATTCACCCCCTGGGAATTGATGCTCTGTAGCCCACATCTGCTTTTTTCTCCTCAGTTTTCTGGACTTAAATCAACTCCAGGAGGGGTTAAGTGTGCCCAGCATCCCTGCAAGGGCTGATCCTGGGAGGAGGCAGCCAGGAGGAAGGGGTGAAGGAGCAGGACCTCTCCATCCCATGGCAGCCTGCTGAAAGCTGGGAGTATCCAATAGGAGAGGGAACACTGGCCTGCCTTTACAGCCACTTCTGGGCTGGGATCTGAGGCCAGGAAGACCTTTGGGATGATGGTCCCAACGCTGCTCTCACTATACCTGGTTTTCTTCATCCCTGATTGCATAGAGGCTGTGTTTGTAGACCCTCTTTTTGGTGCCAGCTCGGGCCATGGTGGTTTCACTGAGGTCTGTCAGGTACTGGATGTTGCTGTCAGCTTTCTCCAGGTCATCATAGACATCACAGCTCAGAGGGATCAAGATGTGGAGCTTCCAAGTCTTCCTGCACACCAGCAGGTTGGGGTTGGCGCTGCTGAATTCCTCCATGGACTTTTTCACCCCTGGTGGAAGAGAACATCAGGCAGAGGGGCCTGGTGTGAGTACAGCTGCCTTCTGCCTTGCTCCCCATCTCCCTGCTAGCACTGTAAAAGTGGGAGGATTGTTATTAGGAGCTATTTCTATCTGTAGGCACGAGAATGCAGGGAAACAGCTACGTACGTGGCAGGACTATTTTTAGGTACCCCACATAATAGGACCAGGCCAGCCCGTGGGCGACGTTCTGCTTGGACCTCTCAGACATCTCAGACACCTCCACTGCTGAGGGCTTCTGTGAGGGAAGGACAGACAGACCAGGGGATGAAAGAGCCACCTGGGCCCTTCCATGACAGTCAGTTCTCCACAGGCATTGGAGAACTCCAGTGAGGTCTGGAGAGCGAGCAACCCCCACTGCCCCCTTCCAGCACCACACTGGGAAGTGGGGCAGAGCCCCTGACAGCCCCCCACAGCCCCTGCTGGGAGGGAGGGGGGCTGGGGTGAGCTGGGCACTTTCCTGGCTGCACCCTCCATTGGGATCACATGTCCCAATGCAACTTGTGCGTCTGCCCAGTGCTCCCAGCATGGGAGAGGAGAAATCCCAGTGATATCAGGATTCCCAGTGGCCCCTGCCAGCTCTGTGTGTTCATTTAGGTGGAGATAGGTGGCCAAAGCCCCCTGTGTGAACTCCCTCCCCTTCCAGCACTGCAGAGACACAGCAGAGCCTTCCCAAAGCTACAGAGGCACGTGGAGCTTGGCTCTGCCCCCACAGCATGCTGGTGATTAACCCCCTGGACAGCACACAGGGTGTGCTTTCCCCACAAGCACCAGCTTGACTGACAGATGTAAAATACCCCCATTCTTTGTGTCAGGGGGTCTCTGCCAGCCCCCTGGAGTGGCTGTGCTCATTAGGAGGCAGCATGGCACTCATGCCAAAGCATGTGGCAGCATGGGGCCAGGGAGATCAGCTCTGCAGGGCTGAGCTGAGGGTGTTCCTCCCGCTGCCAGTCTGCCTGTGGGTGGACTGGGTGTGCAGGGGCCGTGCAGAGCTGGGGACGTGCCCCCAGGGCTGCTCAGCACTGAAGGGCTCCCAGGAAACCAGCCAGGCTGGAGGTGCTGGAGCCTTACCTGGAGCCCCAGGGCGAGGATGAGGAGCTGGCACAGGCTGGCCAGGCCGAGTTGGAGGCCGAGGGGCTGCCCATCCCCGAGGAGAGCCACGTAGGCTGAGGCACAGAGGAGCAGCATGGCCCCGTGCCAGCGCGGGGGGAAGCACGAGCTCAGGGCCCGCCAGAAGCTGCCGTGGTGCCTGGGTGGGAGAGGGAGACAGGAGTCAGGTTGGTGGCCACCCACCCAGCATCTGCAGCCCACAGGGCACTGGATGATCCCACCTCCCAGCCAGTGCCACCAATCTTACAGGGCAGTACAGAGCCAGGGAGCCCTGGGGGACCTGCCCAGTGCACCCCAGGAGAGGGCTTGGGTCCCTTGCAGCACCCCTGGGACTCGGAGGGAGCAGATGGCATGTCACCCTGGACAGCAGAGGGACACAGGAGCCCCCTGCCCTGCAGTACTGGGTGGTGGGGAAAGTCTGGGGCCGAGATCTGTTCCCCAGGGAAAGGGCACACGAGGGAGGGGAGAGATCCATACACGTACGGGGGAGCTGGGCAGGTGGGAGAGGGGGAGAGGAGGAGAGGGAGGAAGAGATGAGAGAGGCAGGAGGGCGATGGAGGGCACAGCACAGCGTTGCCACAGAGAGCAAACCCACAACACCCGGAGGGCGCAATACCCTTCTCTGCAGGGCGGACCCAGGAGTTTGGCAGGCAGACCCGCCCCCCCTCGATGGCTCACCTGGACTGGAGGTGGAAGATCTCCTCCGCCAGGTAGCAGGCGCCCTTGAGCAGCGCCCCGATCTGCAGGGTG